TCTTTTCATCATAAAGTTCGTCCAATTAGTCCAGGCGCGAGACGAAACAAAGACGATCGTAAAGTAATCGACGAAGTCGTTCTCGTCGAAGGGTCACGCCGCGTTATTTCTGGAGAATTTCTCGACGCTATACGTTTATACGTGTTACACGAGCGTTTGAACGGTTCGATGTCGGGATAAATATTATTAACACGTGGCACGCACGTTACATCACGTGCCGCACCACATTAATTCCGTTCGTCAGGTTCCGCTTTCCCGCGATACTTTCGAGGGAGCCTGGAAAGCCGGCGATCGTTTTCGTCGCGCCGCAACAAATGTTGGACCCATTAGCGGCCGTCTTACTAATAAATATTGGCACCGCTCGGTGCCAACCACTAAGACTATTTTCCACCAGTCATCGTCGTTCCAATTTTTTTGACGAATTTCAGACACGCGGGCGCCGAAAAGAAGCACTTTGAGATAATAAAAGTGATATTTCTTTCTTGCGAAAATTGATTCTAACATCCAAACAAATGTTGAGTAACGTAGTCATTAAAGTTAAATGACCTGAGAGGTCTCGAATACGTCAAAATCAATTTTCTGGAAAATTAATTGGAAATAATTTTAGATTTAGATAGACACTTTTTCGATAAAATTTGCTCCGCTAAAAGGTACAGATACAAAAGATACTCTTGGCAAACGGTATCTATTCAAATGGGATGTACAAGACAGATTTATCACGGCACGCTTTAATGAGCTTCGTAAAGTATATAAAATTGTACACGGACGGCCATTGCTTTGCCAAATCTATCGGCGGTAAAGCGCTGAGCATTTGTTTAACGTTGCAGTGCCAAGGCGAAGACATCGGCGGAAAAGTTTTCGAGGCGGGGAATTTATGTCGGGAATTATGCGAACGAACGCGCGAGGATAGTCGCGGACTTAAGTTTGGATTATTTGCATCGCGTTTGGAAGAAAAAAGAAACCTCGGTCGTCGTCGTTGTCGCCGTCGTCGTCGTCGTCGTCGTCGTTGTCGTCGTCGCCGTCGTCGTCGTCCAATAAAATACACGGTCCTCTTAACGAGCTCGTAGTGAAGTCGTTGCAGTTTCCTTGCAGACGTTTTGACCTCCTTATCGAGCTCTCCTCACGATATCCCATTTCGCACGTTAATAATACTCACGTTTATTTTCGCATATTTAGCTTCGAATTTTCTAATGGTATCCTAGCTAATTAATGGATCTGGGCTGCGCGCATGAAAACGAGCGAGGCTATTGTTTCGGTAGAATATAATAAACAACACAATTCCGTGAGCCCCAATGCCCTCTTTGAATAAACTTAATTTATAAGACACCGATTATATCCATAATTATATATGAAAATCATTATTCCAGCTTTTAATATTATTTGCCAACCGTCATGATTACTCTGCAAAGAAAGATAACGTCATTTTAAATTTTCGCACGTGCTTCAGTTTCTTTCGACAAGTTCTTCCTCGAGTGCGATGTTCAACTCGAATTGTCGAATTAATTGCATATCCAGTAATGCAATAATTGAAGTATTCTCTCGTTCTGCTTTTAATTGAAGATTAAATCGCTGCCGATATACATGAGATTAAGTAAAGCGTTGGCTGATGATTGACTCGATTAATTCATCTCGGAGCTTTCTATGAGACATGTGCGCGCGCGCGCGCGCGTGTGTGTGTGTGTGTGTGTGTGTGTGTATGTGTGTGTGAAACGCTTATAAGAATCTCCTTATTCAATCTCGATCGGCCGTTTCTTTTGTTGCGAGATGCTTGCACTTTGCACGGTGAGTGCACTTACGTGCTTTAAAATCTCGTAGCCAAGCGAAAAATCTATTCCCGGCGGTGTGGGAGCCACTTCTGAACGCAATGGAAATTTACTTACCGCGATCGATCAACCCGGGCGCACGCACGCACACGCTTAGTTACTCTGATTTTAACGAGGCCGCGACGATGAAAGTATCTAATTATATATAAAGGAATCGCTGATGCGTCTTCTTTTTATAACTCTACCACAGCGGTGAAGATTAATTACGAACGCTATAATTGACAATACAAAAGATAGACAGAAAAATAGCTTCAATCCTGTGACTTCTTGTGATTAGTAATTGTGATTCGTTATTATTATCAAAACCCTTATCATTTATCATTTTTTGTATGACATTGTTTTCATATCACGTCCGGAGACTAATGTCCATTTCTATCGATGTAGATTAATTTTGATCGCTTTCAACTCACTTTTTATCTTTTCCGAGTTCTAATAATTAGAAGAAATTAAACCAAGATTAAAGTTAATCTACACTGGCGGACGTAAGTGTCGTATCTTATCAATTGATATCTATGTGTTTAAATAACGGAAAACGATATATCTATCTAACTATTAAACAATATGAATTTCTAACAAAATTTCAGTCACGATGAATAAATAAACTGTTTAATTTTGCTTAAAGATATCTCCTTAGATTGTCTTGAAAAATCGTCTTAATGCCGATATAAAATAAACGAGGTACAATCGACGAGACTATCTCTGCGTAATTTCCGTCGATCTCGGTGAATTTAGAGCGATCGAATTTATAACATTGTGTCGCGCATTGCACGAAATATAACATGCAGTTAAGACGAACCAAAGTACACATACATCGCTGGATAATAAAATAAACAAGTGAACGATATTATACTCCGAGATATTCCCGAGATTGATTTTGCTTTCCTAGGCAATTTGTTTGACTATATCATTCGTCACGGAACGCAGATGTTAATCGCAACCGTCTGCCGGTGCTTTCATTTTTAGATTCCAGCAATCGGATATAATCTTCATGCAAATCGAGATATTCATTAGTAAAAATTAATAAGTGCATGATTGTTACTTAATCCAGCGAAATTTTCGTCCTCCGCTCAGTTTCGTCAATTTCGAGCTTTATTAAGATTGATCCCGTCCAACGTTTTGTTTCAAATATAAACTGAAAACGCGAAATAACATCCCTATTTTATTTTAATATTTAATTTTACCTCACATTTTATTTTGGCTGACACGTTCGTCGTTCGAACGTTGACTAGCGTTTCCTCAGAGGGGGCAATTAATATTTTCATTCATTTGTTTATTATATTTATATTATATTATTTTATATTTGTATATTATATTATATTTCTGCTTTATTTTGAGATGTGATTTATGCAAAAATCGCAACGTAAAACCTCGTTTGCCAGTGCAAAGCCGGGAGTCGCGCCGAAGTCGCGTGCCTCTTAAAATTTAGAGACCTAATTAAGTCCAACTCGAGTCTCAAGAAACCAGATAGGCAGTCCCACGAAAATTGCGTCAGAGATCCTGGCAAATGTGTAGAAAGAGGAAGGCACTTGCGTACGTGGTCTATCGCAGATGGAATCAAGACGGACAAATATAGGTGTTGCACGACATAGGGGAAGGCAGGATGTTTGACGAATGCTAAACAATATTATTTATTCTGACGTGCCGGCGCGCGATCGCGTCGTCGTGGATTTGTCAACGGCGTTTCCGTCGACACGCGACGTGAGCGATGCAACATGACGATTATCCGAGGGGTGACAACAGGAGGAGACAGCGAGAAAAACGCAGCGCTTTTAAGTGAAAATAGTTTATTACTAGGGAGATTCTCTCGCGCATAATGCACGTGTACACAAAATGATTCCCTAGGGCTATAAAGGGTCCATAAACTCTCCGTCTAACCACGTGGATTAGCAATCTCGAAGGAAACATGTCCGCTGATTTTAATCTCGGGCTATAGCACAAGAGACAATCGGATGTTAGAAAAGGATCGAGCGACTTTTCTAATAAAACTGCCATCCGTTCTCGCCGCGCAATGACTATCCGCAATAATTAAATCCGTTGAATTTATTACAATTCCGAGATTACACCGAGTATAGAGATTTTATGGACACTAGGCTTATGTAAGAAGATACGTAATAATGGAAGTACGTTTGGTAATTCTGACTAGACTTAACTATGCCTATAAATATTGGTCCTTTGAGGTAATGGGTTTAGAACGCGATCGGAGATAATAAATACTCGCCGAGAATTCCTTTCGCAAGATATAAATATACGTCTAAATAAATAAATAAATAAATTACTACGACATATACAATGTATATGAACAAGGCAAAGTCGATCTTATCTAAGAATTGTCTCCTTAAATTTATCCTGTCCTAAATTATGTCGATTGTAACAATCTATACCTCTGTGTTTATAGTAACAAGCATAATAATTGATACTTTGTTAACATTTCGATTCAGCACTGGAATCGAAAGCGGTAGTCTGCTCTTGCCTGGCTTCACCTTATTTTTGGATCCAGATAACATTAGACGGTAACATTGATATTCTCTTCCTTCATTCAAGAACACGGAGATGTCTTTTAGCGCAATTTTGCGATGAATAGAATTCACCGGAAAGGACTTTACAGTCCGCCAGTTATGGTTTGGCTATATCTAAACAGTTATTCGGTACAATTGGTCCTGCTGGCTGCGAGAAACTCGAGAAATCGCTCGAGCTATCTATTTAGTATCGACGTTTTAATTGATGATAAAATCGCCAGTATCGTGTTGCTGTATTATAAATGACACCTTAATGCGCGAGCCCGAAAACTCGATCGCCTCTCCGATATTTTTATCCGGTTCAATATAAAATCAGGTACGCCTAAGAGAAGTCCTCTCTATAAAGAGTCATGTTTTAACGGATAAAAAATGTTGCACAAGGTATGAACACTATACACGATCTACTTTTAGAATAATTTCTAATTTATAAACACATTTCTTCGAGGATTAATGTCAACGAATTACCAGATCGAAGACATTAATCTTCGAAAAATCTGGCCAATTAATGTCCATTTCTATCAATGTCTATTAATTTTAATCTCGGTTTAACTTATTCTTTTCTAATTCTCAGATCTAAAAAAAAAAAGATAAGAAACAAGTTAAATACCGAGATTAAATTTAATCTATATTAATAGAAATGGACATAAAATCTCCTCTTTTGAAATATAATCTTCATTCGATATATATCGTGATATAAATATTTGTAAGATAACTTTAAGTTCCAAGCCTTCCTCGTCATAGAATGCTGTAATCTGAAATTTTCTACTTGTCGTTTCTACTCGCTTCCTGTTTCCCGATATATGTTGCGTGCAAAATGCTGCCAGAAGTCTCACCTGCTGCGAGTGAGAATAATATCTGCGGCTCTGATATTTTAGACTAATTTAAAGCGAAGGATTATGGCTCGCTGCACCATTCCACGTCCATTATTTGTTGCAAACACTCGCGCTACGAAACGCATTTGCCAAGTCAATCATATGTAATTAAGTTCAGATAAATATTAGACGTTGAAAGCAACGGATGTGATTAACATTTGTACTTTTGAAAACGCGTTCGTCCATATCGGGTATCTACCGCAAACACTCATGGGTTAATTGACGGGGATGGGGTAAGGTCAAGCGTGTTTAAGGGAGCCCATCGAGTGATTCTCGCACGTCGCATGTTATAATACCTTCCTTGTGGAACTTTTCCGATAGCAGCGACGATGTGGAACGATGCGTACGAGCGGAAGATCGATCCGCGAGTGGATGTGACCGCTAAACGCGTCTCATCAGACGCACCAATAAAAAAAATCAACCTTGACATTGCTGGGCGACATAAAGGCAGGCTTTATGCATCTTTACATCGGTTAAAGCTAAACGCGCATCCTTACTCGGAAATAATATTTTCATTGCTCTCGTATACAATTTTACTATACGCGCGAACAGAGAGTGTACATATCAAAAAAGAGCACGTGTATCTCGCAAATGTATTTTCATTCCTCGCTGAGGGTCTCGTCCGGTTGGTCGTCCTCGTCGATCGAGCCCGATCATCCGGGCGGCGTCTTCTTCTGCTTGCTGAGCTCCAGCAGCACCGGATAATGCAGATCCGGACAGTACTCCGGATTGTTCTCCAGCAGCTCCAGATGCCTCGACCACACCATGTCGTCGTAACGTTCGGTCTGGCGCGCTATGAAACCACGTTTGATCGATGCCTCGGCAAATTTTTGGAATGTCATGCCGCGTCTAGGTGCCATCACCAGGGCGATCCCGTTGTCGGCCAACCAGCCGTAGATCGTCTCCACCAGATCTAGACGCGCGTCGTCGAAGAAGAGGCAATCGGCGCTCAGAATTACATCGTAGAGGCCCGATGGTAGTCGAGCGTCTTCGTCGTCGTCGGCCATCCGAGTCTACATCGAAAAATCACAATCGGAAGGCCGGATTTCAATCTGATTGCTAAAAAGCGTCGATCGAGACGATTCACGAATCTCAGCACAGAGGACTACGTGTAAAATCTTTACGATTGAAATTAAAATTTGAAAAATAATAATAAATAAATTAATAATGGATTCTTTAAAATGTCAAAAATAATAAACTAACAAGAGGACAAGCGAGAGTCAAGCATATTTAATTGTGTTAAAATTAATTTTTATATAAATTGTCATTTAAATAAATTGTCAAATCTAAAATATAACATTATTAGTATCATTGATATACATAAAACGCAAAAGAAATTAAATTCTGTAATTTTTATATCATATTATGTACATTAACAACACTAATAATGATATATTTTAGATTTGACAATTTATTTACATAAAAATTAATTTTAGCACAATTGAGTACCGTGCTTGATTCTCATTTGCTCTCTTATCAGTTTATTGTTTTTGAAAAATAATAGATTTACTTTATGCATTCGCGTGAAGTGCTTACAAGGAGAGTCCAACAAGTTGTAAAATCAAGAGAATTCGAAACTTTGTGAAAATGTAAAGTAGATCAAGAACTTGTAAACGTTTCTTCTTGTGATGGATAACAGCTTTAATGGATGAAACAAATCTCTTAATTTTTCCAAGAGGTTTTGTGATTTTTAATTCTATATAAAGTCGTTTAAAAAAATTGAAAAAAAAATTAATTATTTAAGACTATTTCTTGTAATCTATAAATCAGCAACAATGAAATATTATGAAGGATTAATTATTGTATTGCGATAAAAGTAATCTACTGCAGGGAATGTTTTTCTTTCATGTAAGAAACGACTCGAAGAAGATGGAAACATAAATCGCTGGATCGTGTACGCTTTGGTCAAACATATCCGCGATGTATTTTATAATTTCGATCTGATCAATAAAATAACTCACTCCGATATACTTTATTTTACCATTTATCTTCCACAAAGACGAAGACGGTTATATTACAAATCAACGATCTTCAAAATAAAATTAAAAAGAAAAAGCTTATGGAAAGTCGGTCATAAATATCAGATATGTTGAAAAGTCGTTCGATCTTTCAACGTCAAACTTCTCAGATAAATTCAACGGTAGTTTTCCAGTAAATAAATGAACAAAGCTGAATGGCTGTTTTTGCAACTAATTTCGGTCCATCGATCGATCTTCGATTTTGATTCACCGGTGCAAATCTCGGTCCCGGTCAAGCGGAAATTTCCCACGAAAAAGATGTCAATTGCGCGGAACGTTGTGAGCTACCGGAAAAGCAAAGAGGCTACAGGAAATGGAGCTGAGGTTTAGCCGGAAATGTCCGAATGGTCTGTCTATATATCTGAACCAAGCATCACAAAGATCACGCGGGGATTCTATACCCTCCCAAGTGGCTATCCTTTGCGATACATATCAAGAAAAATACCCTGACATATTTTCTAAGAATTTGAATTTTTAACTCTCTTATTAATGTTACGCGTAATATAAAAATATTTCAAAATTAGCAGGATTAAAATGCGTAATAGCGATATGCAATAATTAAAAAATAAATTATGGTTATTACATTTTTATTCGGTGAAAAATTTTTAGTTCATTAAAATTTATTTTTGACATTAATTTATCATTAAAAATTTTAATTTTTAAATTACATTTCTATTTAATGAATCAAATATATATTTTCTGAGATATCTGAGTTTTCAATGTCCTAGTTATTCTTTTTCATTTAACTTTACTCTATAAAAGCTTTGAAATTAATTCTCAACGTTATTTTATCAAATAAACTTTAAGTTAAATTTCTGCAAAAAGCAACTCAGACATATCTTTCTGCACATATTCACACATTTTCTAGAATGCCCCTCACGGATAACCAGTAACACCGCATTATGATATCATGACATCTCGAAATATGTTACGATAACGCGTCTCTTCGTTACGTGACTCTATAACATAGCACGTGTTTCCATAGAAGAACGTCTCCCCATGATATTTCATAGTAAATTTTATAGATGTCGTAAGTTAAAAAAAAAAAAAATTAATTGGTCTTATCATTTTTCGGACCCTCTATCTTTTAAACGTTTCCAACGTCGGGGCAATTTCCTCAGAAGTGCCAATTCTGTCACCGCGGAAATGCGAGTCGCTCTTCGTCGCGCGCGATCGCGGATCGTCATTCCCCATCGATCCCCCGTCTCTATTCTAGGATCGCGATTTCCAACTGCATTACGCTTCCCCGGCAAGGCCTCAATTTTTCCATTCATCGGCTCGCGATGACCGCGATGACTCATTGATCGTGGCGACGAGGCAGCGCATCGCTGCCGGAACGTGCAACCGCGAAACCGGGCGTGTCGATATCCGATGATCCGTCGTCGATTACGGTTAGCGAGCTCGTCGCCGTCGTCCTTGTTACAGATGCGGATCACGTCGTGGTCGGAGTTTACGAGACGCATTATTCCGCGGGGTCGGCGACCAGGCTGAATTTTCTGCCGCGATTAGTACCGAAGTACAAAGTTAACCCTTCAATTCCCAACGGATCCCTGGAACTCGTACGAATGCGAACGCTCGGCGTTTCTCGCACGATACAAGATGGCACGCTGGAAATTTGAAAACTGAAAAACGAATTCCAACGAAAAAATTCCAACGCAATATTTTTCGTTATCGTACGAATTTACGATTTTTCCACTAATTTTTCTAGACATCTTTAATCAAATACAAACTAGGATTTTTTATTCAACAAAATTTTTATGTAAACGTTAGCGCTGACGTAGATCCGCGACGTGATGAGGAAGTTAAAAAATGCTTTTCTCATTAACATTTTCAATATTTAATTTCCGGCCTCTTTGTAGCCGCGTGCCGTTGTTAAAGCATCCTCGTCACGTTTTAATATCATTCATGTTGAAAATATGCTTTTTTTTTACATATATCCTATTATGCGCTCGCAGTCCTCTGTTCATAGAAATCAGATGGAAATATAGCCTATTAAAATGCGATGGAAACATATTTGTGCATTGAAAAAATAAAATGGCGAGATAATGTATTTGTGATATACAACTTCACAGACGTCATAATGTAACGTGCCGGTTGTAATCAGCAATGTAAGTTGAATTAAAGAGAAGGCTTTGTAGAAGGCCTTATAAGTTGCAAAGAGCATTAAGGTAAATTCAAAAAACGATTTCTGATCTACCGTACGCCTGTTGTCGACTTCATTCAAAGAGTCCTCTTAATGCTGTTTCCATTAATTCCCGCCTGTTTGCCGATACCGCGATCCCAACGCGCTATTTTAGTCGTTACAGCTTCAAGAATAATATCGGACCGTCGACCGCTCTTTCAAGATCGAGTTTGGGCATTCACCTTAACGCGGTTACCGTTCATCGCCGTCTGTCGAAGGGTTCTGGCAGCCTGGGCCCACTGCACGACCCCGCACTCCACCAGATGCGCCATGTCGTTCCTGGCGACGATGCAGCGCACGTTGTCGACGCTGGTCACGTTGCCGTCCGTGAGGGTGACGGTGCTGGGATTACAGTACTTGGCGACGAGCACGCCGGCCAGGCAGCTCATACCGCCGCCGAGTTCAAGGACGTTCCGGTTCCGGCAGAGGCCGCGATTCCTCAGCAGGTAGTAGGCCAGACACTCCTCGGACGGCCAGACGCACACGTTGCCGGTGTTGTTGAAGCCAATCAGCTCGCTCGCCGTGAAGCACTTGCTTATCCGGCGTATCTGCACGTCGTACGGCCGACCGTCCAGCTGGGCCGAGTACTCGCACCAGCTGGACTCGCCGTCCGTCAGCATGTTCTTCAGCAGCGCGCACTTCAGCAGGCCGAAGCTGGTGAACCGTCTGACCGATACCTCCTCATCGGACTCGCTGCCGATCGGCTCCGGCGAGCCTGTCAGCGCCCTGGCCAGGATTCGCCATCGACGCAACGCGCGAGTGCTCCTCTTCGAATTGCGAGGGTCGTTCATCTTGACCGAGGGTGTCGGTCGACAAGATAAAATCTTCTGCGACATGTCGCGATCAGATCGGTACTCGATAAGCGGTGGTTTCCAAGTTTCCTTCTCAATTTACAGGATGTTATTTTTGTACCTCGGAGGGCAGACTGTTACGTCTTGTTATTCTTTCTCCTCATTTGAGTACCAATTATCGACTGCGATCACGTGTTGTCGATGTTTACCGGAAAGACGATCCTCGAGCGAAAGAGTTTCGTTGAAGACTCTGTTAGAGACTCCGTCAATGAACTTTCACTTCGCCGTGGAGTCGCGCTGCTACGAACCCGTGAAAGGCACGTGGGGGCGACGCGTGGTCCTCTTCATCGCTGGCGAACGGCACGCCGGTTCAGACGGAATCCTCCTCGGCGCCACGTCCTTCTTCCCGCAACCGGTCCGGATATCGGGCGCATACTTCTTTCCTGACCTGAATAGCCGCGTAGGGGCTGCTCTCGCCCGGTAAGGACGAGGATGAACGAAGGGACGGGACAAGACTAAAAGCACCAAGTCAAGTTCTAACTCGCGCCACGCGGACGACGAGCGTTCTCCACGCGTTGGATCGGCGCCTGCGCGCCTCCTCTCTTCGTCGTTCCCTCTTCCTCGCGCTTGGTCCTCCTCCGTCCACCTTCCGCACCGTCTCCGCGGGTGTTCCCCAAGACGTCGCGTCCCTCGTGCGTGTCTGTCGCGCTTTCGTAAAGACGTTCTGACGCGCCCCGTCCCTCGGAATCTCGAGCGGCTCCGCGTGCGGCTCCGAATTAGCCCGAGCTTTTCGAGATCGGAACGGTCTCAATGGTCGAATCGGGCTCGCGGTCCGTTAGGATTGCCCCGCGATCGAACGGCATGCGCCGGAACTCGTCGAGGCTTCTCGAGGGAAAGTGTGATGAATTATGCTGGCAAACTCTCGGCGATTTGTCATAACGAACGAGCGGGCTATCGCGGAAGTAACGCGAAACGTTATCGCTGTATGCGGAGAATTATCATTTCGCGAAACAACATTCGCTCGCATTCGATTTCATCGGTGAGAGAAGTGCGATCGTAACAATAGGTAAATCGCAATTCAAGAATGTGTGTCAAACACGACGAAACACAGGAGACATTAACGATTCGTTGAAGGGATTATCATTTATCATTCCGTGTCGAACCGATAAAGTACCAATAACATTTATATATTTAATACCGTAATAATCAATGGGACGTTCGCAGCAATTGGTTGGCACGTGCTGGATGTTGTAATTATTTCTCACCGCCCGTATCGCAAGTTTTATTTCCTATTTTTATTTCAGCGCTCCTCGTCCCGTCAATCTACGCAAAGCTACTTGGATGCTCGTCGACGATGGAATATCGAGAACGTGAATGTTCGACAGGTGTTCCAGTTACGAGGTTTTAATGTTGCGTGGGCTTCCTATCTATTGATAACAAACATAGATGATGGAGCCGCGTTGAAATTTTTTTAGGCACCCTATATAATTTCGTGCCATGTTTTACAAGCTTTCTACAAGTCGGGTTATTCGTCGTGTCGTCTTAATTTTCTATCCCGCTTTAATTTTCTGCCCTTGATCTTGCCATGACGACGGCTCAAGCGCGAGACGCGCCGCGCCCTCCCTTTAGGTATATCGAATATATTATTATAATGAAGGTAAAGGAAAAGAGGGGGGGGGAAACGGGCGATATTAAATGCCGTTATAATATACGGCCGGCTTATCCGAGCGTGTCACAAGCCTGGTTTCAACATCGCTACTAAAGATCTAGTAGCCAGTCGCTTCGCGCGTCGTGCCAAGGCGCAGACATTAAACTGTCATGAAACTAATGTTTAAATCTTGGCCTAAGTTTCCGGACGAGTGACGAAAAGCGCATTCGTTAATCGCCTCTCGTTTCCTTACGTGATCTCGCATAATTCGCATAATCGCAATTATCGATCGGAGATAATGGTATCTGGATCTGTGACATGATTTTATTTTGGTATTTGACACTCGGCATTAATTACTCAAATAATGAATAATATAATGAAATTTTTGTTTACCTTCGTACAGAGAAAGCAAAGCAATCGTTTATCAATCGTATTTAATATCATGTATGGCAATTCATTTTCGTTATTATACAATTTTGTTTGGATATCAATCTTCACCATCGATAATTTATACGCGAATAATTTATTAAATAAGCGCAATGCGTATGCTGCCCGGTATTTCTATTTTAAACAATTCCCCTGTCAATGAGTTAAAAGCGACATTGGAAACATTGTGTATTAATACCCTCCACAGCGATATGATTCGATTTATGATACATCACGGAAGCTTAACTATGAGCATTCCAGTTTATGCAAATGTCAATAATATAATAAAATATAAACAATAAAGGAATGTATGTATTTCATTTATGGGATCTTGATCTAACTTAACCCTTCCACGTGATACAGAAAATAGCATAGGTGTAAATAATAAAATTATCAATTTCATTACCTGTGTATGTTTACGATCGCAAGTATTTAAATGTTCTCCGTTGTTCAACAAAACTTGAGAGGAAAACTTACAGAAAATTCAATAATTCTTCGCTCACTGACAAGATTTGGAGGAAAGCCAAGATTATGACAGCCGGAACAAATGAACATAGCTGCGAACATGTGCGCGTAAAAAACGTTACGTTTTCTTCGAACAGTGTTAATTATTTTTTTTCTTTTTCCTCTAAAAATATTAATTTAAGTAAGCCATACGAACGTATCTAATTTAGAGATATTAGCTGGATGTGAAAGTCGCACCTATAAATTTCAATTGTTCCTACGATAAAAATGGAAAATACGCGCCATGAGAGATTACTATAAAAGGGGGACAAAGAAAAATTCTGCAGCTCCGTGTGTAAAATAAGTTATGCGCAATCAACAGTTACAATTTCCGTCTTACATGGGCCTCGCTAATACGGGCGGAATTCAATTTCCCCGAGAATATATCGCCGGGGTGGGATAAGCCTCGAAAATCGGTTTTACCGATTTGAACGCTCGCTGAACGCTAAAGTTACGTGTGCGCTCGCGCTACGTTTAAACGTTATTCCCTATCTTTATACGGCGCGATTATGCGGGAAGCCATTTTATGAATACTGAAAATAATTGACGATAATGATCCCGTTTCTTCACTTTCGGAAAGGAAAGGCAAAAGGCGTTTCTCTCTGTCGGAAAACCGATATCCGAAAGAGGCATATTTCCACGCTTACGAGAGGGTCTTTCACATTTCCGCTGTATTATCGCAGATGGCTCGGGTTTCTGGACTCCATTAGCGATTTATCCTGTCGTGGCACCCGTCAAAACGTCACTGCTCGCCCTGGTTGATCCACATCCATTAAGCTCTCATCCCCGCCGCCCTCGAGAGAGTCAGCTTTTTAATTATTTGTGAAATTCTCCGGAAAGATATATCTGTATGTCGCGAGGAGATATCGTTTCGACGTTTCCTGTCGCAGCGCGTCGTATCGGGCCCGTCGTAATTATAGCGAAATCGAATTTTCGACGGTCAATGACACCGTTTCGCGATGTCGCGAGTGGATTCGCCTGTGAAAAACAGACGACATCGCGCAGCTTATTTATACGAGGAACCAGTTTATCAAAACGGAAAAATGGATTTGGATAGAGTTATCAGCAGAGAAAAAGTCTTAGTCCAGAGTGTTTTATCACGACAGAATGTTCGATAAAACACTGATGTGTATGTCTACTAATAGAGATTAATTTTAATCTCGGTTTAACTTACTTCTTTCTTTTTTAATTTACAAGAATCAGAAAAAAATAAAGATATAAATAAATTAAATTAAGATTAAAATTAATTTACATCAGTAGAAATGGACGTGAACTAAAAATTGTTCGTCATTTCGTAATATTAATAACAGCACAAAAATAATTAATATATTTACACAAAAGAGTAATCACAATCGATTGGACGCTTATTCTACATTTTTACAAAAATCTCCAGATTGCTGAAGTTAGACTTTATATGCAACATAATATAGTAATCGAGTTATTTTGCATCACGAAATGATTGGGAAAAAAAAAAAAAAAAAAAACGAAGTGATTTTTCCTCTAGTTAAATGCTCATCGATTTCTCGTGCAAAAGATGCACAGTTTTCAGGAGATTTTCTATCTTCAATTCGAAAGGTATAATCCGGTGTATTCTCGGGTGCAAATTCAATTTCATTAAAGCGCAAGGTGAGATGCCGCTGATCTCCTCATGGCAACGGCGGCGATGCGCCCGCGTTTCTGCACGTTTCCCCCCACGTAGGTGCTTATGTAACCGCAGTGAGGCTGCGGGGCACATACGTTTCTACTTTATATTGTTTGACATAAATAGGATCCACGGTGGCAGTGGCACTCGCGGTTTTCCTTCGCGTGTGAAGCCGATGGCCTCTAGGCGCTACGAGTATTAAGAGTATAGACCTTTCCCTCCTCACCTTTAAAAAATATACGGTTTGATTTCTATCACTTTGGAAAATACGTTAAAAATACTTTTAAAAATATCTTTTTGTTATATCCTACCGTTTTACGAAAAACTGATTCTTAAATATTCGAAAAGTTGTAGTCGATTAACCGAGAGTGAAATGATAACAACGTTAGAGGCCTGATTTATCTCCGGAAAGAGGGAACGGTTTCTACAAACAGAATCTTAAGTTGAAAGCGGGCTTTGCTCATTATTAATTAACTCTAAACACACTCGGGACAAACCTGTGTATGTTGGCGCGCGATTAAATCTCCGCTTCGTGCCGTTCCCGATTACGCGTACTCGAAATATCTCATCTCTAGAGCGTGCACATCTCGCGCCATGTGCGGCTGACGTAAGATGCGCAGCGGCGATACTATTATTTGTACCTACGCAAATATGCTCGGAGAAGACACGGGCGCAGACAGGCGCATAAAGACGCTATTCGATTTAACGGAGCCTACACAATCGAAGCGTGAACGCCAGGAATTGCTACGCGTCAAATATCGACGGTTTATAGCATCATATGGAATTTATCTTACGATGAGATTTCTGCGCATAAACGTTAAAAAAAAAAAAAAACCAATATTATGAATATTAATATTGACATCAATATTAATATCGCGAGATAAAATAAGATAGATCACCTCATGTTGAGCTTATTTATTAATTTATCAATAAATAATTTATCTCTAGATGCGTCTGTGTCATTAATTAACTTTAAGATTAGAAAATACATTCTTTCGTTCTCAAGATAAAAGGAATTAAAAACTCATAAAATTCTTAATGAATTTCCGTACATAATAATTCTGTAAAATATCTTTTAATTAATTTTAAAATTAATATCACTCCAAAGATATTTTTACACACAAAAAAAAAATAAAATTAAATGACTCCATAGATGTTCTACAGAGTTACTTTCAAAAAAAAATCAATCTGCGATCGGTTTAAGAATCCGCAATAAATATGATATCCTGTGTATAGATAATGTATCTTCCGAATAACTAAATAATGTATCTTCCGAAGCAAAAGTAGAGATATTGTTACATCAAATGAAAGTAAACTCGGGGGATTGCAACAGGAAATCAATAAAAAAAAAAAAAAAAAAAAAAAAAAAAAAAAAAACCCGAAAAAAGAAGGCAGAAAGAGAAGAGCAAGACGAAGAGCCTGTCGCAACATAAGACGAGGTATTGCGGCGTTTCTCTGGCAAGAGCATCGACGCAATGCGTCTAGGCATCTCGGGAAAGCTACGTGACGACGTGAAAGACGTCGACGAGGATCCGATGGAAGCGAGACGTCGCCGACACGTGGGAGAGACACGTCGTTTTCCCTTCGGCGGATTTTCCTGACGGTCGCATAAATGCACGTGGATACAGAAGCCGTGCCGCGTTGGCCAATGACGAGCGCCAAATGTCCCACATTCGCTTATTAAGAACAGACAGATACGGGAGAGACGGACAATGGAGAATGCCATTGCTCCGTGCAACGCGACACAGTTGCAGACGCAGTGGACGCAACCACGACAGGTGCGTGTGGAGAGAATTTAACAGATCGGAAATTCAATCGGTGCTATTCGATTCCTCGTGGAAGAGTCGCGGAAGAGTCGAAACCCGTCCATAAACCAAGAGACTAAATCCTAATAATAATATACTGACGAATGTAATGAAGATGTCTTGAATCAACTCACTCTCTTCTTATCAACATTAATTTTTATTTAACACATTCTCTGAGGACTTGTGAGTTGATCGCAGAATGACCAGCACTCGTCTAGAAGATATTTTCTACTTCATTGGAGTTGGAGAGCGCTATCTTGCTATTTATTCAGGGCTTTTTTAGAGCGTTGGGGAAAATAATAAGTTTGTCACTTTTGATTTTAATAAAATAAATTTTTCTGAGCTTTTAACAACTGCTATTTATTTTTTACGTAAATATAATATTTTTTAAATTTAAATCTGTATTTACATTTAATTCTGTATTATTTAAAATAGTTACGTAAAAAATGTACGCTAAACTAACGATGTAAAAGCTGATGTAACTAATACTCCACAAGGTGCTCTTATCTCTCTCAAGAGTGAAAGTTAATACGATGCTTCCATCTTACCTCGCGAGTTGTATGCAAATAGAGTCTTAATTTACTGTTAAACTAATGTTTTAACAACCTTTTTGCTACTTTCACATAAGATACTTATAAAATAGAAAATAAAAAAAATAATAATAATAAAGGATACCTCCAGAAAGATATCTCAATTTTCGAACAGCAAACGTATTAACCCAAACCCTTTAGATTACTCTACAAAGATCTTCGAATCTTTTTTTAGCGCGAACTTCGCTTCAGATTGCTCGACAGAACTCTTCCAATTTCGATAGTTATTTACGTTCCTCGTCGGAACGAAGAAAGAAAAGGCGATTCGAAATTCCTCGTATATACTTTTTATAATTCCTCAACCGCGTTTAGAGTTCCAGAGTTATAACGGGGAAAGCTCCGCTTAGGTGGTCAAACGATTCTAATTTCGGTGCGCGGCTAGCACGTGGCTTTATTACGGCAGGGCGCCGAGTTTACGCACGTGAGAATCAACGAGATAACGCCGCGCCCGTGTCAAGGAAGTTGTATTTTTAGCAGATACGGGAGCTGCGAGCCGCAAGAAAGTTAGACGCGCCGTAAAATGGAGATAGATATACTAAATGACGAGTGAACAGGGTCGAGAAAGGTAAAACGAAGATTAAAAATTGAGAATGAAAATGAAAAATTCAGATGAAGTATGACGATTAGAAGAGAGAGAGAGAGAGAGAGAGAGAGAGAG